ATTTTTACTTGTTCTAATTTGTACAGTATATTATGTTTGATAGTTACCCCCTCCCCCTAGCTGCATTGTTCTGCATCGAGCATGCACCTGTTATATTTCTCCTTAGGGTATAAATCCTTATTGTAACTTTATGCTTAATCTGAATTTTGCTTCGATTATTAACATTAGATCTACTTCAGCTCTATTCAAAAATTCAATAAGATCATTTACTTTGTTCCTAACACCATTTGCATTCCAGCTACACACTACTAGATTAGATGGTGCCATTATTGAGCTATTTGTAAAATTATAAAATATTTTAAGTTTTTTTGTAAGTAACTTACTTACTTTTTGTAAGTAACTTACATTTGGTTAATTAGTGCTTTAGTTCCCTAACTAGTTCTGATATCTTCCTGACATCTATTAGCCTTTCTAAGGTTACCATTTCATGAGTTATTGTCTACCTCGCTTGCATGATTTGTCTATTATGTTGATTGCTATGGTTATTGCTGTTTGCTAAGACTTCTTTATGAGTATTATTTATGTGAGGGTATTATGATGTTGGACTCTTGTATTCCCGTTCGATTCTTGAGTTGTTCCTTTCACATGGGATTTTTGTTCCTCTAATAACGAGAAATTTATTTTATTGGTTTCTATTTGCTGAGTTGGCTGCTGCCGCTGGAGCTGTACTCGTTGTTGGAGGGTTCCTTTCATAGGTGTCGTTTCCTAATTTTTGTTTATCCATTCCATTCTCTGAATATATATTGCACATTTAGTACAGTTCGTTGCATGGCCGTTCCCCACAGTTAGCACATATAGGTAGGGATTTATGTTGTTTGGAGTAGAAATTATAAAGGATGAGGTAGGAGTCGATAATGTAGATTGTACGGCGTGTTTCATCTCAAGGCTGCTAGCCTAGTCTCATTAGTGTCTGACGGCGACCCTTATCCCAGATATTTGTTTTTATTTTTGTTTTTAGCCAGGCACCTCTAGACTTAAGGACAAGGACTGGATGATAATGGTCACCCATCCTAGAGGTGCTGCTCCGCACTTGCGTTGCTTAACCTTGTAATCGATATCGATCTATGAATCAACGGCAGCCATTTGCAGTTTGGTGTTTTTGGAACAAGTATTTGAGGGCAGCTTGGATGTGTTAGTCATAGTCGCTAGACTATCTTTTGTGCACCCGTTAGTTGGATGGCTACGCTTGAGGCATTTGAGTTTACATGGCAGTGCGTAGTAGCACGCTTCCATTTTTGGCAATACTGTGTTATTACGTTTTTATTAATATATCTTTCCCATTTTATTCTTGTATATGGTAGGTGGACTACGAAGACTTTTGTTTTGTCTTTTCTGCTAGTGTAAGTATGATACTGTGTGTTTTCATCTAAGTTCGTGATTAGTTTGTTGCAGTTACTAATTGTACATGTGTGCTAATCTGTTAGTTGCGTATTTAATAAAAAAAAATTTTCTTCGACGTATTTTTGCCATTAGTTTGGTATGCGAGGTATTCTTGCCATGAATTATTACTGAGTGTGGTTTTTTCTTCTTTGATAATGATTCCTCTTGTTTGGAATTATCATTTTCAAAGTCCATTTCCTGTTCAAGTGCTTCCATATTAAAAACAGAAAATCTGTTTCTTTAAAGTGATGATGTTTTGTTGATTTTTATGTTTTCTCTTTCGATCGGTATTCTTTTCTTTTTGTTATTATAGTTTTAGTTATTGTTATTGTTTAGTTATTATAGTTTGTTATTGTCGTTTTAATTATTATTATAGTTATTCTATTATTAGAAGCTGAGATTAGTGTACTAAATGAGCTACCATTTCCGTGTGTTCCTTTCCATTCACTTACAATTAGTGAATCCTCGTTGTTGAGGCTGTCCCTCCCTGTGGATATCCGTAGCAAGTTTTATTGTTACCTGGTGTGATAGTTTATAATTTAGTTATTAAATTAGTTATGTTTAGTGCTATTTACAATTTACCTTTTTAACTGCTAGGTTGCTTCTCATGTATGACGCTGGCTTGAAAATCGGGACAAGAACCAGTATTTTCAGCGCAATGTGATTATTGGTTGGGAAGCAATATTTCTGTTTTAG